AAAGACACATATACAACAAACAGGACACAGAACAGAAACATGCACAATTTTTCTTACATATTTACATTAAGGACGGTGGTTACTACAAACAGAGTACTGTACAGTTATTCAATTAAATAAAAATAACTACAGATAAGAAGCAAACCAGGTTGTAGTGCGAATCGGTTGATTAAAACAGTTTAAACTGATTTGAACAGTTAAGTGTAATTCAGTTTGCAAACAGAATATTTTAAGTGTTTTTTACAAAGTTATTAATAATTAAGAAGAACAGATTTAATGGCAGTGCCATACAGGAACTAATGTACCATGGAAGTACACCTAATATATAATATACTTAGCAAACAGGCACGTGGATTATATTTTATAACAGTTCCCAGATATGTACCCATGTTTCGATGCTCGACCCGCAGCGCTGAAGTTCCTTGGATCTGACCATCACCTCTCTGCCTGCTGATGTCATCACTGGAAACCTGTGATGTGAGATGTGAACTGGGTTGGTAGTTTGAGTCTCTTCTGGCCTGAGCTTATTTGATGTTCTGCTTCTCTCAGCTGAAAACAGTTTGCATCCACACTTGTGTTTTTGTTTTTTTTATTTGAACACATTATAAATTTCATGGAAGTCTGTAGTTTACAAAAAAATCACCTCATCCTAATCCAAATGTAACCAGCTGCTTCAATTAAAAATATTTGTGGTATTGAAGGGGGAAGAGGAGACTTTAAACACATCCAAGGTGAGACTGACGTGACCTTGTTGGTTCTGCAAAATGATTCAGGTCTTAGTGGTTGTGTTCCTGACTAGGATAGAAGAAGAGCAGCAGACAGCGGACAGAATTCCAGAGGAAAAGTGAGCACTTCAGGTGAGTCGCAGGTAAGTTCTGCAACCTACCTGACAGCCACAGTCAGTAAGTTAAACTCCTTGTAGAGATGCAGGTTAGAGAAGTTGGGAATATCTGACAGGCTTCAGCCAACGAACTGAGCAAACAAGATCAGAGAGACACGAACAAAATACGCAGTTAGAAAGGAGGCGTGTTTACCACCATCACAGAGACAGCAGCAGAACCAGCCGGTCCTTGAATACCAAGAAATCATTCAACAATGCACAGCAGGCATAGAAGACCCGAGAAAAGACTCCACCTACAGGTCGACCTGCAAGGACACACCAGCCACATCTCCACCCGAGAGCAGCAGCAACAGGAAAAAACCCACAGGCTGTGGGCACCATTATAAATTATTATCCACAACCTGAATCTGGATGTTCAGCTTCCTGTTTTTGATATTCCCACACAGGAGGCTCATGACAGAAAACCACAAAGTTTAATATGAGAATGTGAAGATATCGTCTTCTAGTTTCTTCTTTTTTAAGATGTGGCCAAAGAAAAACCTAATCGTAACCCTCAGTGGTTCGCCAGTGACCTGATGGATGTCAAAGATTAACTGCGTGCTGCCAGACAAAAGTAAAAAAAAAGAAGTATTTATTTCTCCTCTTTCAAGAAAAAAGAAAAGAGGAACCAGACAATGTGCCGTTTCAGTTGCATCACAAACCACAAGTTTCTGTGTGACTTTACCGAAGACCATGAGAGGAAGAAACGGGGAAGTGAGACAAAGAAAGGCTTTAAAAAGTTTCAGTGTTAATTTAAATGTTGAATATCAGCATTTTTGAAAGGCTGCTTTGATAAAGTTAGGACATATATGTATAAATATCCTAGTTCAGTCTATTCTTCTGTATATAAGATTACAGAGATTATTATAATCCTCATCATCATCACCATCATCTCCGTAATCTGTAATAATATTAATAAGATGCAGTTCCTCTAATGTCCACTAGAGGCTCCAGCAGCGGAAATAAACCTGTTTCCCTCCATTACAAAGGGCTTCGTGTGAGCATCAGTACAGGGTGAGCAGGCTGACACAATCTCGCATCCACACATGCAGCCAGTTTAGAAAAACCAGTTATAAAAACAAAGACATGCTGAGATGTTCTGAACATCTCTACTCGGGGGTAGTGGAGATATTGAACAAAGGATGATGAAGATGGAAAAGAGGAAGACCACAGAGGAGGAGGATGGATAGTGAGCAGGGTGGTGTGACAGGGGAGGATGCTGGATGGAGGCTGATGATTCCCTGTGGCTACATCAGTGTGATGTGCTGCCCCGAACAGAAACAAACTTTAGAAAGTTGATGAGATTTTTACAACAGAAGATGTTTTTACTGTATTTCTAAGAAAGGAAGAAATCGAATTATGGATTTTATCATTTAAGACGCCCGCTCTCACTCCGAGGTGCACTATAATGACGATCTGTCAAGTCCCTCGGTGTTCGTGAGGAACACGAAAGGTGATCGTCTGCGTTCTTACGCTACGCGCTGGGTTATGGATGAAATCCAGTAGAATGACGCTCCTGCGGTAACACACGTTCCAGCCATGTATTCTGTGTGCAGTGCTTTAACTTACCACCAGATGGCACTGTTCACTGTGACATCTAAAGGACGAGGCCCAGCAAAGAGTAGATGACCTTTGCTCACGTGGAAACAGGCAGCAGCAGTGGTACAATCTGCTCACAGTCTCCAGTAAAATAATCATTTCAAAAACAGATGACTCTTGTTATTTATCAGAATGTTTTTATGGCATCAGTGCTTCTCATAGCCCAGGTTCAGGGTTTATTGTTTATGGTTCATCACGCGTTTGTGCTCTTTCCTCAGGTGTAGCTGATCTATCCTGATGAACTGGGAACCAAAGAAAGTGAGCAGGAAGTTGTGCTGCCTCCTTTCACACTCCCTTGTTTTCAGTGTGCATGGTTGTCCTGTTTATGGAAACATCACCGTGGTAATTTGTGCTGCAGATGTATCCTGCTCTGTCGCAGAATAGATTTGAGATTACGACATCAGCACATAAAAACGTCTTCCATTGGTTCTCTGGAATCTCAAGAATGGCATCAGCAGAGCTCAGAGGTGCACAGAGGGTCCACAGTTTGTAGAGACTGTCTAAAGTCACAAAAAACCACTGACTCAAAATAATTAATGAACAAGTGACATGCTTTTTTGATTTTGAGCATGTTATGAGCTTAGACATGCCACTCTTCTGCAAATAGACATGTTCATGTCTGTGACTGGTCATATGCTGTAGACTCCACCTCTAATCATAGGCGGTGATATTAACAAACACACGACAGACACATGAATTCACTGACCGTCAGTAATGACAAGAAACGACTGCTGCATATTCAGTCTCGTTAGTGTGATTGCTGAAGGTGTGAGATTGCACTGATGCTTCATCGGTGCATCATGAGGAAGACGTTGTTTAAAAGATCAAGGTCAAAGGTAAATGGCTGCAAATAACTTTGTTGTTCACAAAGCTTGTGCATATGATTTTAAAATTGACAATTTATATTTACATTTAAAGTTATGACATATGATTCAATAAACATGTTTGTGGTTGTTACAGTAAAAATATAACATTATCTACTCTGATTTTATGTTTTTTGTCTGATTTTAGATCAGTTGTGTTACTACAGTAGTCAAAATGAAAGCATGACTGCAGATTCAGACACGTGAGGTTGTGCTGATGAGACCAAACAAGACAAAGTAAATAGTGTTTAAAGGTGAAATGTGGAGAAAACATCAGAAGTAGTTAAAAATGGCCGATTACATCCTGGACCCCAGAGGGTTAAACTTTTTTTTTCTGCTTCAGCAGACGCAGAATTCATAATCCTGACGGTCTGATTGCTTTACAGGATTTATTGTAATAGAATAAAACTTTAACCTTTATTCATCTTTTCACTTTTTCCTTTGATCACATCTACATCAGTGCTGCTCCTCAGCTTCTGCTGTCTTTTAAAATTCTGACATCATTCTCTCTGTTGCACTTCAGCCTCACACTTCGGATGACAGGTCGTCTTTAATCCCAGTGTGTGTGTGTGTGTGTGTGTGTGTGTG